CACAAAAGTGGTGTCAATCATCTCATGTAACTCTTGACAAGAAAGTGAATGTTTTTCCGCCTAAAAGCATTCATTTTGTTCACAAACTGATACTACCAGGCGGTGCCCATATCTCCGTTGGTCAGACCAGGACACATATATACTCGTGTTGACACTCGAAATGCAGGCGACTATCATCTAGTCTCTGCAGCTGTAGGCACCCCCAGGGCTCTCAGTGGCACTTTCAGGGTCCTATTAACTAACTGTGAGGGAGCCTAGAGGTGTGTGGAATTAAGACTGAGAGACAGCTCTATTTGTGGATGATGGTGATGGAGGAGGGCGAGGCAGTGGTTTGAGTTTTGGGGGAATGTAGAGGAGGATAGAGAATAAAATGAAGAGAGGTGCAATGAGGAGGCAATATCAGATGAGAATTTGATTGTATTTGTCACAGGTGATAAAGATGTAATGATACAGTAGGAAAATTCAGAAGAGAACACTGGAGAGCGCAGGGAGGGAAGAGAGTGGATTGGTGAAGGCAAAACAACATTTAAATGATCATAATGAGGAGGAGAACGTGGAGGATAAGGTTGGATAGAAGGTCAGTATTATAAAACAATAGATGGCCTTAAGGCTTCCAGACTTGGTGGTTCAAAGATACATCACCTTTTGGCACAGCAGCTGTTGTGTGTGGGTCCTCTGACCCTCTAATTGGCCTTACAAATAGAACCTTGCATGCCTGGTGCTCCCAAACACACACTCATACATCTTCAGATACCAAAATAAATGAAACAACAACTTTTAGACAGACACCTCTAAACGGGAAGTGTTAAAATCCTGAAAGCAGCCACAACATACAGTACAGAAAAGCTCTTTGATGATTTACTTCACTTTGGAATTTTGTGCCTTAATTAAAGTTTTATTGTGTGTGTGAGTCTGTTTACTGTTTACTGTTTGCTGTTGGAAGGGGGGTTAGGTTCAGACACAGGAGCGAACTATAGTAAGCGAAATTTTCCATGCATTTGTGGAGATACATTACACGCAGATGGTGAAAACAGTTGGAAGCTTGCTCTGCAATTTCACACAGCAATTAGTTCACAACTAAATGATGTGTGTTTGTGTGTGCGAGAGTTCCTCTGAGCGCTTGTGGCAGCCAGCTGTTTACAAGTGGGGAGATTTCCGTTAAGAAATTAAGAAGACTAGAGGGGTAAATCCAGTGGGGTTGAGCGCATAAATTATTTGTGACGAGAGAAGCGAAATTTGGGCTGCTGATTTAATTCAGTCAATGTTTGTGATTACCTTATCAGTCCTATTTGCTCATGAATGATTTTCAGTATTAAAAACATTAAATACACGTGTCGTCATGGCAACAGATAGATTTAAATGCCACCATATTAGTTTGTTACAGTCACAAACTGAGACAGACAAGTGATTTTTGAAGTCTTTGAAATTCTGTTCTGTTGGAACAGCAGCTTTTATTAAATGTTGTACCATCCTAATGGATTGAGCAGGTTTTTATGTGCCCGCCTCCCCATGCATTAATTTCCTGGCATCATTTAGAATCATATTCCATTTTGAGTATTTCTTGACAGCCCTGGTAACATTTTATCCAGAGCTGCCACTCAATGAGACAACTGAAGTTACACCGACGAAGAGTCAGATTTTGGAAAAACTCAACTAGACAGCCCAGACAAACATCAGTAATATACCATGACACACTGATGAGCTCAGTTCGTTTTTTTATGCATGAAAATAGCCACCAGGATGGAACAGGACCAGCTTTGTCAAACTGCTACAAATGGAGGAACTCATAGCAATAAATTGTACATGTGGTAGCCTTTGGGACTCACAGCTGTAGACTTAAGGCTTGGACTTGAGTAGTAAAATGGAAGACTTAACACTTGACTTTCGACACATTTGACTGCTGTGAGATTTAAACTACCTGAGACTTGACACCCTAAAAACGTTACTCGACACTTGAAAATACAATAATTTGAGTCTCAAATTTTGACTGGTGAACTTCTAGACAAATAAAAAATTCAGTACGACTGTAACAGTACACTTTACATATTCAGTTAACCATTTTAAAGGCTAATCAGGTAAATTGCTTATGAAGACTTGTAACTTGACATGGACTCACCTCCACGGACTTGCTTAGACGGACTTGAGACATGACTTGGACCACAACTCGCCAGTCACCTCTCGAGGCTTGTGTCCTTCTGTGTACAGATATAGGGATGTGAAATGGGGCTAATGCAGATATGGTCTCTCTAACTGCAAATTTCTCACCTCTAGAATACAAAAACGAAGACTGGCTTAACATGTCTCTGAGAGACAAAGATCAAGCTTGTTTAAAATCAAATCCTCCTGACCTCCACAGAGTAATGGACCACTGCTCAGAGGATCCAGATGGTTCCGGTTTTCAATTATAGAGATTTAATTTAGCAACAGAGGACGTCTGCTCTATGTCAGAGCATGTTGTTGTTTGTCTGCTGTTTGTTGTTGCAGACTGTGTTTATGTTAATGTTAGGCTGAGAATGAGGTGGGTTGGGATGCGAGCCAGTGCACTGTGCTCTGCACAGCGGGAGGTGCTATTCTTCCATTCGTTCTTCAATTACAGCGTGCGCTAATTCAGTCAGCCGGCCTGTTAACCAGCAGACAGCTAATTTGGCACAGCTCAGCTTGACAAGCTAATAGAAAGGATAGCACTGACAAACACAACAAACTCCAAGTGTGTGTACGTATGTGTGTAGCTTATTAGAGATGCTCTATATGCAAATATCATATTAGGAACAAATTCTTTTGGTCTATTTTCACATTTTTTGTGATATCATTGCTTATCATTTGATCAGTACAGTCCATATTTGGTTAGGGGCCGGTATTTATCCCAAATTATGCAAACTCATGCCTCTTTCCTTTGTTTTTTTTTGCATATTCTAGCATGAACTGTTTAAAACTTGAAACAAGCACTGTGCAAGCACTGTCAATGTCAGTACCATACAGTATGTGCATGTCATTTATTGTCCAAATCTTATCGCATTTAGATTTTACACATTAGTTAAGTATTAGAGTGTATTTGGTGTTACAAGAATCCTGGAATTTGGTATGCTGATGTCTGATGAAGAATTATGACCATTTATGTCAAGCTTTGTGAAGATTATACCAAGTGTTCACTGCTTGGAAATCATTTTTTTTGTCCATGAGACACTATGTTAATCAGTAAGGCTTACCCAGCTATATAGACTTACCCAATAAGTGTTGAGAGTGTAGAGATTTGCATCTAGAGATACCAAATCTGGAGATGATTAGATCAGCAGTCCGTGGGGAGTTCCCAAAAAAATGGGGAACACTCCTAATACATATTTTGTACATTATATGCATATTATATACTACAGTGTAGTGTGTGTGAGAGAGAGCGAGAGAGAGACAAAGAGAGAGAGTGAGAGGAGGATATGCTTCATAATGCAGTTTCATCCTTATTAGAGTCACATTGCCACGCACACTTAACACTAATTTCATTAGATTCCAATGTTCAGGCAGTCAAAGATCTCATTTAAATAATCTAACATCGTGTCAGTGATGCAATGACCCCATGTGTTTCGAAAGATTAGATCAGAATGACCTAGTTATGCACAATTTATTTTTCATGTTAGAATGTCTTCTACGTAAAGTTGCGACTTATTTACAGAACAGAGTGGTCTAAACAACCTTATCATTTGGGGTTATATAAGTTCACCAACTGGTAACATGTTGAGTGTCTGTTCCGTACCCATGAGGTTGCATTTAGCAGCAATGGCTATCTGAAATCTGTGTAGACATGCATGCTCAACATCACTCACATTCCTCTCGGACATGTCCTGATTTGTAGCTTCCACACACACGCATAGTCTTCGACTCAAGAGCTCTTTCGCTGCTCTTCCATTCTGATTATGCTGTACTGTGTATCCAGGATAAGAGAAAGAATTAGATAGATGCACTCAAGATAAAAAAAAGTTAACAGATACAATTAAGTTCAGTGAATGGGGAGAGGATGGGAAAATCAGGAATGGAAAGTCAGTATTTTACTCAGTGAATGGGCATTTCTACATTCAGAAATGGGTAATATAATACAGTCCAGTATTAACATGACGCACCCATAAACATTCATTTTTTTTAATATGACATACTTTGTTTGTTATAGTGCACAAACACATGTTGAATGCTGTGAACACCCGAGGCTAAGGATTGGTCATCATTGTTAAATATATCCCACTCGTATCAAAACTTAATTCAATTCTATTAAACCAAGGTCGCTCCAGGTCCAAGCCCATTTGGCACCCCAAACTCCAAACCCTTATTTCCAACACTGTCAGGGTCAAAGGTCCACTATTGGTTCAGCATTGTGAGTTTCAATGTTCTCCACTGTCTTCTAGTGAATTTCCTCTGGGTGCTCTTGATTCTGACAGTGTAGAAGCAGCTTGGTCAAGTAAATTGGGAATTTTAAAAGCGAAAAAACACTTACACCCAGTCACACAGACAGCGCTATGGACAATCTTTTGACTAGCTGAAGGACTAGTATGACATTTTGGGAAATAACACTTAATTGCTTTCTTGCTGGGAGTTAGATAAGAAGATTGATACCACTCTCAGGCCTGTATGTTCAATATAAGGCTAGAGCTAGCATGTGATTAGCTTAGCATTAAGACTAGATGCAGGGGGAAAACAGCTAGCCAGGCTCTGTCCAAAACTCTAAAATACAACTTTTCAAGCTTACAAAATAAAATAGATATTTTTTGTGTTGGCTTTAGAGGTGCTAATAGTTGCATTTCTTTGACTCCTTTTACTTCAGAGAGAGCCAAACAACTAGTTTGCTTGCCATAAGCTAAGTTAATAATCTCTTGGTTTTAGCTCCATAGTAACGGACAGAAGTAGGAGTGATATCGATCTTCTCATGTAACTCACTGCAAGAAAGTTAACAATTCCCAAAATGTTTTTGACTATTTAAAGAACACTTTCACATTTTAAAGATCTCCCTCTGTTTGCAGAGTCTCCTCCAGAGAGGACAGGACGCCGACGCAGCATGCCAGGCAGCTCCTCAGACAAGACCACACCCACCATGGAGGCTACGTCCACTGCTGCCACACCTTTCCGAGTCACCGTGAGTACTGTGAGTTAGTTTTTTTATGGATCGTCTCCGTCTTCTTTTTTTGTTTCACCCTCTGGCTTTGTCTCCACCTTAGTTTGCCCTAGAAGGCTCTTAGTTGTAGATCAATGCCTTTAGAAGGCTGATCTGCTGTCCAGATGGACTCATGCCAATCTGAAACTCATTTACATCAAATGTTGAAATGGGACCTTTGATGTTTGGCGTCTACACATCACACATCTTGGGTGTGTGTTCAGCCCACCGTCCTACTGCGTTTCTACATCCTGTGTGATTTTTTTATTGCGTTTCACTGAATAATTTTAACATGCTTGATATAGGCTGACACGCGCACTCCCACACCTGTGCACGCACAACACACTCGCCCGTTTATGAGAAAACTGTCTCTGCTCTGTGCACACAGAGCAGGCCTGTGTCTGTCATCTTGCTCTAATTCAAATCCAGTATGCTTTCTGCCATGTTTAATTCAACAGATAAACAGCCAGTTAATGAAGCAAAAAATTCCGCTATGAGTCATCAATTTAAAACTAATTAGCAATTAGCAGCGCATATTTCCATTAATAAATAATCAGTGGGGAGACAACGACCTGAAGGTGAACTGTAAACAGTAGATGTTAGGACAGCAGGGCCAAGAGCTCTCAGCACTCAGTCTCTCATAAACAGCCCTCCAACTTCATGTTAACTTTCAGCCTTTGTAAAGACAGGCACAATAATGGGCCAACTTCAGGGCTAAAATACATTATATTCTTTGTGAAAATAGCAAAGATGTTCTCATTTCTTTCATTTTCTCCTTTTGTCACCATCAGCCTTCTTCAGCACTCAAAGATTCCCCTAAAGATAGTGTTTAGTCTCTACAAAAAACAAATTAGGATGCTTCTGAGGCTTAGTAAAAGCCCACAGTAAATAAAAAAACAAATAGGCTAGACCCACTGTTGTTGGACCACCTGCAGAGTGAGAATTAAGTGTTTCATGAACTTTATTTTAGGAGTTGCACATATAAAATTGCCACAGCTTGAGCTAGAGATTGACGAACTCTCATTTGTTCATATAAAAAAAAACTGTGTTTTTTGGGATTATGAATTGTTACCTGCTGTGTGTCTGCTCCTTTTCTGTCCTCCTGACAGTTTAGCCAAAATGTTAGACTTTTAGAATGGACAGAATAAACACAATTTGAATTGAGTCATTGAGTGGCTATAGAGAGATATAAAAAAGAAAAGAAGAATAAAATGCTTGTAGAAGACAGAAAAGGTCAGATAGACAGGCTAAATATTGATTAAGTGTCTCTTAAGCAGCTCCTTGTACTCTCCAGGGAAGCGAACGAGAAGATGAGCACTGCAGCAAAGTCATCCTGTCTCAATCACATGACCACTCACTCACTTACTTCTGTGGGCTTATTGCTAAGCAGCAGTTACTTCACAAAGAAAGCTTCCCCAGACAGTCTGACCCTTTCCTGCACCTTTTTCTCATACTGCCCCCTTCTGGCCTTTAATGGTAGTACAGTCAGCTAAGTTCCCCATTCCAACTTTTTCATCAACTTTTAAAGGAAACAAATACGATTTGACTAGAATTTTGTTGATCATCAGATTTTGCTAATAGAGCAGATATTAATAGATCAAATGGATACACATATAGTAGAGAAATGCACAATAGACACAGTATTTAGATGGTTGGATAGATGGAGACAGGCATGGTGGGGTCGTATTCTCCTCCGTCCCTCCTGCATCTCCCACTTTTAGCAATGACAAACCTCCCCTCACTTTTCTCCCTCCAGTGAAAAGAGTTGTGGTGACATCTAAAGTACCCCTCCTAGGCCTTGAGCTAAATCTGTCAAAATGTTTTCTTCTCATTTTCTTTGCAGAGACTGGATTCAATGTCTGCACACACACACACACACACACACCCACACACACACACACACACACACACACACACACACAAGCACATCTTCCAGCACTTCTCAAAAACAATTTCTCACCAGTAGGCATGGGAGAAAACTAAAATCTCTCCAAAGCCTAATCTACCACAGCCAATTGTAGAAATACTAGAAGATTTCATACCTTAAATATAAAAGCTACAACTTGGTAGTTTCTCTTATTCAGTGCTTGTTTAAAGAGCAGACAAACAAACCTTATCTAAGTCTGTCACGTCCACCACATCCCGCTGATTGCACTAGCTGGCTGGACTGATTCTCAATTGTGACTTAGCTCCTTATCCAATCTCTCCCTAGCTCCATCTTCCCTAACTCCCCTCTCCTCTCAGATAATAGCAGGGGGTCTAATTGGACAGGTATGTCTCTTGTTTTCATCAGGTTGTGCTAGAGGAGGACAAGAGATGTAGATGTAGAAGCAGGGAACACCCTGCTGATTGTCCAGGCACTGATTCTATCAGCCCCCATTAGGGAAGCCTGGAATTGCCAAGCCAAGGGAATAGAATTAACTTGTTGCAAGCATTTGCTTTAATTTCATGAAAAAGGAAAACCAAAAAAAGCACAGCGATAAAATTGAGCTGTCCTCTTAGTGCTGATTTAATGGGCTTGGACAGGCTGAGATTACAATCAAGTATGCAAGCCTGTTATACACTCTCTCTCACACACACACACACACACACACACACACACACACACACACGGGCTAGCACTGAGGAAAGCTAACAAACATTTGCGCTGTAAACAAGGTAACATAGTAAATATGGACAAACAACATTATTTCCACAAACATTCAAATTCCCTTTTGAGCGAGCACAGTAAGGTGGGGCTGGAGGGTTGAGGAAAACCAGCCTCTCCTTCTCTTCGAGGATGCATGTTGAATCAGATTATTCCATCCCATCCTTCCACTAATTAGCTGTCAACCGTAGAAATGTGGAATAATTAAAGAGCTCATTGAGATCCACGTTAACATGTGACACTGTAGTGCCCCCTGTCAGGTTGCACTGGCTGTAATAGCCTTATCATGTTTCTGTGTATGAGTAGGTGTTTGCAAAATGAAATGGAAAGGGCCAGACATTACAGCAAAGCCAATGATATTTATGATGGACCGAATAGAAATTAATTAATGACAGGATGTGAACCGTAATAATGCCCTGTATTTCATTGTTGTGTTATTCAACCAAGCTCTCAGGAAAATTGTATTCCCGTGAGTCAATTTATGCATTTCTTTACCACACAATAGAACAATGACATGATGTATGACATCTCATTAGGCTTCAGTTTTCCTCAGGTATGTTGGAGTCCCTGGACATGTTTCTTGATCACATATAGCAAGACATAATGGGTAGAGGTCAAGCTTTTCACATTGTGTTTTTCAGTTGAAATGTCAAACATCAGCTCTTTGATATGTAATCACTGGTGTTATATGGAAACATATGCTAAGACCAGAGATCAAAATATGATCCACGTGGAGGAACAAACTTAATTCTACTGTGTTCGGCCATCTTTTGTTTCAGGTCTAGATTAATTCTCTCTGTAGCTAGTGCTCTGCCCTGCTGTGCCCTGATCTGCCGGTGCCCTTGTCACTCATTTGCCGTACTTTTCTCCTCACTTTCCCCCTCATTTAGTTTCATTCTATTGCTTTTTCTATCAACTCATGCTCTGCCACCTCCACACTGTGCTTCACTTTCTTCCATTTATCCTGGTCTACAGCTCATCTCTGTCTGGCAGGCACTCACCGTCATTTTCTCAATTTTTTGACCAGTCTCACCTCTATTTCTGTCCTCTCTTTTTTACCACGTGGCTCTATCTCTATTTCGCTTCCTGCATGTTTTTTTCTCCTCTTGCTCTCCCAGTCATCTTGTATGAGCTGGTGCTGAAGGTAAATTAAATGTTAACATTTATGCAGTGTGCTCCCAGTGTGTCTTCCCTCCCGTGGGGTTTAATCTGGTGTTAATATAGGCATCACTCATCCTTACTGACTGATTGTGAGTGGGAAAATAGACCATCCATATCTGCTGACCTTTGAACTGGACAATCTCTCTACAAGAGCTTTGACAGGCTGACTGAATTATAGAGCAGTGTTTTTTAATGTCACATTGCGGCCCACATGCACTGGAGAAGGTGAAAGGGAGAGCAAGGAATACAAAACAATCAGAGAAATTATAGGTTTATGTATCTTCCTGGCTCCTCTCTCTGATTTTCTGCTAGATTCTGTTTTTCTTTTCCCCTCTGTTCTTCAGAGTCCATCCATCAGGGAAAGGAGATAAGTAAAAACAGAACAAGCAGCCACTAATCAATCCACCTCGCCTACAGGGACAGGTTTCTATTCACTGACTTATTTCTGCGGATGAGGAGAAAAGAGAAGCATTTTAATTTGTTAGCTGTGCCAACAGCAGCACAACAGGCACACACACTCTCTAGGGACTGCGGGGAAGATGCATGGAATTACTATGAATTTGGAGGTGATTGTGAATGACAAAAAGGTGTGTGTCAGTGTTTGTGCATATGTGTGTTATCAGTTTTCTACTGCACTGCCATCTTTGCCTTGTCATGTTGGTATAGGACACGGTCTGAGGATGATGCTAAATACAGTCGAAGAAAAACAATATTCCTGCTTCACAGTCTGACTCATATTGCTAAGAATGGTGCCTATGCTAATCTAACCACATGCCCACACACTCACATATACATACATACGGAGTGAATGATGTATTTATACGGCTAATACTGAGGACAGGGAGTGGGGGTTTGATTCAGAAAGAAACCCTGCCGAGAGCCCCGGGTGCAGTGCTCATACCAACATTGGTGACTCAAACTTGTTCATTTAGCTAATAGCCCCTGAACAGAGTTCATTGGTGGTAGGTAGCAATAGTAAGCCATTTGCTTCCCACGTTCTGTAAGCTTACATATACCAAATGTCAGATTCTGCTAAATTAAGAGTTTCTTATATAACCAAAAAGTCTGATGATTATTGAGTATGCACACCATAGACATGGCTGATGATGATAAATAAGAAACAATTGATTTCTTTTGTTATTTTTAAAAGTGCCACTAAGAGCTGAACAATAGATCCTCCCTCAACCTTACGGAATCTGCACATTAGCTGTGTCCCATTTTTATACTACAATATCAACTAATCGCATACAATACGTGGTATATATTCATTTCAATAGTGTAAGTACCAATAAATCAGTGGGCTCTACCCCTTTGTACCAACAGGAAATTATGCAATACTTGTGCCAACAGACATCAATCAAAGTGCAACTTTGGAATGCCACTGCCAATTTAACATCATCAGGAGAAAACATGTTTGCAAAAATGTAAAGGGGTGCTCCAGCAATTTAGTGTTGATCTCCTACAAAGTTATGAAGCTAGCAAGAGACACACTTAAAAAAAAAAAAAAAGTCAAAATCAAAGCAGCAGAGGGACATTACCCATAATGCAACTCAGTAGCATATTTTGGAAGACTTCCCTTTCCTGGGAAATTCCCACATCTTTCAAACTCCATGTTCAAGTCTGTAATGCAGGCTTTCTGTTATAAATTAGCAGTCTGCAAGCACAAACTTTTAGTTTTTTTTAACTCAGTTTGTCCCTAAGCCCCCTCCAGAGCCACAGTGGAAATGATACAACAGATTTTACTGGCTGACTCCTAATAATAATTAAACTGAACTTCATGTGCAAAATTGGTAGAGTGCCAAGATTTTCCTCAGGTTGTCTCACCACCATCTGCAATTTGTTTTAATGTTAAGCAGCTGCGAGTAGCTCCTCCATTTCCTTTGAGAATTGCATTGTGGGATGTCAGACGTGTACACGAACAGCACACACGAAAATTAAACGTGCTTTAGTGTGACTACTGTTTGACTGTTTTGAGTACGACATTCTGCCAGTTTTTCTCCTTAAAGCAATGGTTTAGTATGGAATTTGGACACAGCTCTTTGTTTAGGTCACGTACGCACAAACTAATGAAACAGAGACACTCCCATTATTGGCGCAGGCTAAAATATACTGACATTAGCAAGTCTTTGTTCCTAGCCCAAAGTGTTTTACTGATGACTGGTGTTCATCAGGATGCTATGGCTCCTCTGTGATCAGCTGGCAGGCTGTCTGGAAGTCACTCTCTAATTATCCCTATTCCACTGTTGCCCAGGGCGACCTATTCACACGGTAGGTGGTAATTATACAGGTGTGTTAATGACCTGACTGGGACGGGGGGAGGTCTTTTTCGCTGTGTGTCGCCTGTCACTGTCTTGTGAAATGTGTGCATGTATGACAGTGTCATGAGTTCAAGGCTCTATGGGTATGTCTTTGAGGTTAAATGCGATTTATATGAACCACATTGCTCCTGAATTTGTCTATTGTTCAGGCTATGAACCAGCCGCTGAGTTGAATGATTGAAATAAAAAGCTACACATGAACCCTGACTGGTTTAACACTTTTTCCTGCGTACTGGCTATAACACTATTAAGTTCTTTGACTTTGTGCTGCCCTTCTAAGTTGCTCCATCAACCCTCCTATACACCCTCTTCATTCAGAGCACTTCTTTTCATGTTCTTCTTCTTTTCCTTCTTGTGCATCTTCCCTGCAGTGAAATCTAAAAAAAGCAGAAAAAATATATTTTTTTTGTCTCTCAAAACTTCCAACAGCCTGCCATTTCTGCACCACATCTCATTTGTTCATATTCTCTCGCTCTTAATGCCGACCAACAGTTGCCATGGAGACGGCGAGGTGCTTGGGGGAGTGTGATTGCAGATGTTAGAAGAAGTAAACACACAGACTCAGACAAAGAGAAGAATGAGAAAACTAATAAAGGGGTGTATCCGTTGAATTAGAGTGCATCGAAATGATTATAAAACACACAATGTGTGGATGTCGCTAAATTTGTCGCAAACACTGACATAATTGCTGCCGTGGGAAACAGTATATCATTTTTGCATACATATTACCTACCAGCTTATAATGTCTCTACTCTTTGAGAATGTGTTGGGTGTTTTATGTCTCTCTGTATTCAGGGAATACTTTGTGTTTGACCTTGTCCCCACTTTTCTGACACCCTCACTGTGATATGAAGATCTATACTCATTTATTAACCTTAAACTATTCATGACATCCTGCGTCCCAGAATTGAGGATGTGGAGTGTAAATGTCGGTATTAATAAGTTCTGTCCCGCTGCCAAGTTCAAGCTTCATGATTGACATCTCAGAGACTTCCCGCACAAACTAGCGGTGACACTGCTTTATTGACTGTCTCTGTGTCTCTCCTGTAGGGCTTTCTAAGTCGACGGCTGAAGGGCTCGATAAAACGCACCAAGAGTCAACCCAAACTTGACCGCAACTCCAGCTTTAGACACATCCTTCCTGGCTTCAGGAGCGTTGACAATGACAGGTATGTGTTGGTTGTGGCGATGCTGGTTTGTGCTTGTGTATGCTGGATTTGTCCATACGTCGGTTCTATTCTGGTGCCTCTCTCTGCCTGATGGCTGGTTATTCAGGTCACTGTTGACATTTTTGTGTTGTGTTGTCAGTGTATTGCGAAAACCAGTGAATCCTGTCTCCAATCTGTCACTTCTAATATGTCTCGCTCTTTCTCACTGTAATACATGATGAATCTCCTGTCCATTGTTGTGTCATGCCACAGCATATTGGGTTTTACACAAAGTTGTGGCATTCTACTAATTTGTTTGCAAAAAGCATGTTCTTACAATGACATACGATTTGTTTTGCTTTCTCCCACCATTAGGGCTGCGCAATAGAAACCACGTGAACACTCATCGCAACAGAAAATTAGAAACTTCAATATACTTTTGATTCCAAACAATGACCGAAACAAAGCTATGTATGACAGCCTTTAAGAAACATACACAATGGTGTTCTTAAAGTTAGCATAACACTAGGTACTACTGTTTCAGTGTCAGAGTCACAGTTATGAAGGTGAACCCACTGAGGAAACTTTTTCCTATTGGCCAGAAAGTACCAACACACCTGCCACAACAACCTTAAATGTAGAAAAGTTGTTGTGGATAAACAAGACATAGATGTGTGCTGATGCTTAAAGCTTAAAGCCTAGTTTTTGCTACACAGTGCAGTGAGACAGTCCCAAACGGGTCAAGGCTACTTAAAACACAATATAACACATATAAAACCTGTGCCAACAGAGATAGGACACTGAAAAGTTCACCACCTGAAGCATCTGCATCTAATAAAGCACACAGAGACTAAGCATAGCAACAAACCCCCTTTTAATGGACACATTACACATGCATTTTGTAGAGCAAAGGACAATGGGTACCATCAGTGAATGTAAATGACCCAAGATATAAGCTCATATTAGCCAATCTTTTATACGTTAGGATTTATACAAGATGGAAGACTTTTGTGCAATGTATTTTCAGTTTGCCACTCATACAACTATCGTAACTATTTTTCAGGTTCTGTATTTATGCTATATATATATATACAGTATGTATTAACTGGTATGAAAAAAATCTTTGGCCTCAGTCTAAACTATACAGCTCTATGTTGAGTCTTCTCGCTTCAGGCTGTGATAATTGCCAGTTTCTGATAACTTCTCCTAATTTCCTCAGGAGCTCAGCCACTTGGCAAACATTTGCCCTCCCCTAACGAAGTCAATTAGGATTCCAGACCAGGCTATGTTGACCTGCAATTGCACTCCCTGCTCACTCTGTATTTTTTGATGGTCCTTCCATGCATGCATGCATGAGTAACACCTATAATTCCCAACACCTATCTTTGCTGTGTCTGGAAGAAAGCCAAGGTGTCCATCTGTGGAGTTTAATTAATGGGGGTGCTGCTTTTGAAGAGATGTTCCACGGCTTTCGGTTTCAAAACTTGGAGCCGAGTTGCTGCCACTCTTCATACTTTTAATGAGGCATTAACATCACTGTCAAGCTATCACAAGGGAACACCACCAATTGTTCAGTGTGGAACATGGTGAACTATTCCTCTGGTGCAGTCGGACAAATTGAGCTCATACCTCCTCCTCTTTGTCCCGCTGTCTTTTCTCATTCTCTGTCCCACTTCCACCCATTACTTTATAGCGTCTGTCTGTCTAACCTCACTCCCTTCTATCCATTTCAAATTCATCTCTCTGATTTTGTCTTCATCGCACATCCTGCTTTTTCTCTATTTTTCAAACAGTGGTAGGGTTTCCTAACCTATCAGCATTTATGTGTTTCTCTGATAAAGCGCTCAGTGAAGAAGGCAAATATCAGACAGGAAATTGGAATGTCCAGGAGGTGTCTTATCTCCCCTGGTTTAATACAGAAACACACACAAACTACATACACCTCTCTTGCAAATGCACACATTGACTCCTATATAATGATAAGTCTCCATACACTTGTCCTCGCATAGCAGAATAAGAGAGAAATGGCAGTGCTTTCACTCGGGTATGTGTGTGTGCACGCCTTGGTGTTTTGTGTGAAAAAAAAGAGGGAGAAAGCATGAAAAAGTTGCAGAATGAGAGCGTAATGTGCTGTGAGAGGAGTCAGTGACACTCCCTGTCAGCCTGGGAGCAGCCTCCCCACAGGGCAGAAAACACTGCAGAAGAAGACAGGCTTGGGAACAGGCAGAAGAGGGAAGGGAGAGGATGAGACGAAGGAGAGATGGAGGGAGGGGGGAGGAAATCCTATACCCCGAAAACTCCCTGGTGTGCAGATGTGCAGGCTTGAATGTGAGAGATGCAGTGTATGCAGAGAACATTTAGTATTCACTGTATCTCAAACGTTGCCACATAACATGGTGCGTTACGTTATATGCTATATTTCAGTCGTTTCCATGAGTTTGATGACTTAACTTCATATTACACACAGCAATGTTTTTGCATGTATTTATATGTGAGGGCAAACACTCGGCCATATGGACACACACACACACACACACACACACACACACACAGCGAAAATGTGTGTGTTAGCTGTGATGACATTGTTAGGCCTTGTAGCCTGAGGTGGTCTCAGGAGAGTGACCTGCAGATGAGGAGCAGCTGGACTTCTGAAATGAAATATTCATCTGTGTTAATCAGAGGCAGGACACTCACTGAACACTCCTATCTTTAGTGAAGCAGAAGCACAGCAATATGTGGACACCCACGGACACTGTGTACACACACAAACAAATCGCTGGATTATTTTCCCTAGAAATAAATCTATTTACACTTCATTACACAAAACCTATCTTTAAAATATAGGCTGGATATTTTTTAGGGTCTTCAGATGTAGTGTATCATCTGGAGATAGTGACAGGGTGCACAATTTCCGCTCTAGCTTTCACTGTGGCAGCCGGGGTAATTATTAGGGCAACAAAACAGGAACTGAGACTACAATGAAAGTTAGAGTATCTCAAATAATTGTAGGGGCTTCACTGTTCAGGAGCTCATAGAACAGAAGGTAGTACAGAAATGAAGAAGCAATTCCAAAACTTTTAGGGAAGCAGTTTTTTTTATCTGCAGTGTGTGGCATGAATACTAACCTTAACTTTATAGCTGTCACAATAAATCATCAATCATTTTATATATGCACTGTTAGGTGCTGTGTAGACAAAAACGGTATGTGAGCATATATAGTAATATAACTGTCGTGATGTTAAGTCACAATCAAATATTCTACATTGTGCAGTTACTGATTCTTAAGGAATGGAGGCTGAACTCACAGAGACAGAAATGTTTTGATTGTACTATAGATGAATGAGATGCATGCTGTCTCCCTCAAGTTCTTCAAACTCACAGTCCTCCTACAGATCCCTCATCAATTGATAAATGTACCTGATCAAGCTCTGATGATACCGTGTATGTCTTGCGTTGTTCTCCGCTGCTCTGATCTGCTCTACACATTTTAAATTTTTTTTATCAGAAAGATTATCTTACCTTTACTAGCCTCTGCTCCCTCATCTAATCTACAGTGACCTTGCTTGGACCCTGTAGTCACACTGATGAATATCATAGTGCAGTGTCTCAGCTTTCAGATCTTTAACGGCAGCAGAGCACCTTGGTTGAACAGTGCAGCGAATCGTGGCGTTGATTTCATTCTTTTTATTTAATAAACACATGGCAGATATTATTGTTTCAGAAATATAAATTAATTCTTCAAGCGCAGCAAGATTGTACTTGCCTCTACCTGTCTACATGCATTGCAATATAGGTTTGTATAAAGGCCAGTTTTATTCCAAGGCAGTACATGTATTAAAATGCTTTGAAACTAGCTGCAGTGATTAGTTATTAAAGGTTCCCTGTGGAATTTCTGACCACTAGTTGCGCTGTGGAGCCATTTCTAGGAGTGGGTCCACATTTTGTTTGCATCATGCGCGAGGGCACAGGCGACGCAATCAATGCACATCCACTGCTAGCAACACTTTAAGTGTAGTAGACAGTGAAGAAGCAAATAAAAATAAATGTAAACAATGCAGGATTTTATATTTTTTAAAGGTTTTATGTGGAAGGAAATGTATTCAGCACCATTGTTAGACCTCATGGATAAATTCTTGTCATCCGAAAACTTCACAGGTCTGCGTGCTCTTCAGTCCTGTCCCTGTGTCTCTCGCCTCTCTCTGCTACTGCTTTCCTCCCTGTTGCATCATGCCAGATGTCGCTGGCTATTGTAATTCAGGGTCATTCATGTATTGTTTAACTCATTAAACACACAAGCAAGAAGTGCTTCAGTGTGTGTGTGTGTGTGTGTGTGTGTGTGTGTGTGTGTGTGTGTGTGTGTGTGTGTGTGTGTGTTGGATCATGACTGACGTTGACAGAACTGTTTGCCTATGGGGCTCATAACATTCTGCTTCCGGTACAGAATCTTGCCCCCTGTATAATTACTTACTGCACATACACACACGTTTTATGTACTGTAGTGTCTCTCTACAGTTCCCCGAGTGCACCCAAATCTGACATCATTGCTGTCGACAGTCCCCCCCCCGGCTTCCTGCGATCCAGTCCTTCACTATGCACTGGGAATACTTGTCTGTGTGGATTTTGTAGCCACAGTGGTTCTTGGGTGGAACTCAGTGATTGTGATTACGTATTTGTGATTCTCTGTCTGTAATCGCAGGCTTGTCTGTGTGTGTGCCACTGTGTGTGTTTGGGTAACTGCAGTTCTCAGCACTGTGGGCACCAATGACTCATGCATTTTTATAGAAAAATTGCTTCTGAAACACATCAGGAAAGCTTTTTTTGCCGTCACTCAGCCCTGAATATTAGCAGAAGGATAAAATGGCGGAACCGATTTATTACATCCGTATTTCTCTTCCTGTTTCTCGCTCAGCATATGGTTTAATTCTGTTTGTACTGCATAGAATGCCATACTGTATGATGAGCAGTCTTATAGATGCATGCTGGGAGAGGCTCTTGAACTACATAAAGGGGTATATAAAATG